TGACGTTTTACTGAATCGAACGATTCCGGTAAAATCAAAAAAACGGACAAGTCCGATAAAATTGAGCCAAAAAAGACAAGTGTTCCATTTCCGGAAGCGGCCACTGACCCTTTTGGGTCTCTTTTGCTTTACCTGTTATTGTAAATACAAATGTAAATTTAGTATTTCTGTAACCGTCCTGTATTAAACATCGAAACCGAACGCTGTCTATTATCTCGCACGCAAGAAAACAAAGGTCCTTGGAGCAATATCAAAGTACAATTCGGTATCACATTGTCGTATCAACCAGATTACAAAAAATACTGGTAGGACGAGCCGAGTTGCACAAACATTGGTCCTTCGAGACGGATTGCACAAAACATTCGTCCATCGAGTCGGATTATACAAAACAATAAGTCCTGTAAAGTGTTATAAGTACTATGTGTTTAAACATATGATGCTGATTTGCACGAATAAACAAATTAAAACATTTACCAAAGAGCGGTTGCTAACGATGTCAGAAAAAGTGACTCGATTTGGATTTTTTCTCAAAATAATAATAATTTTATCGAATAAAAAAGTATGTTGACAGTATGAAATAAAATACATAACAACATACGTCCGGTAACTCTTTTCGCAGTACTCGTTTCGAAATTAAAGACTCTGCTACCTACTCGTCCTGAAACATACCACTCGTACTGTAAAATTTGAGCTACCGGACCGGACCGTATTTAGAATAACTTTAATTACCATTTATGTTTTCATCAACACTAACAAGTATTTAAAATAACAAGTAATAATTTGATTGTATTGTTTATTCATTATAATAATTCCATTTATTCACCAGAAACTTTTAAACGAAATAAAATCTAATCGACTAGAAATAACGGCAAAGTTGTGCTAGGCTCATCTGGCAACGTTGCAAATTATATAAATGCTTACTATGAGATTTTTACACATTGTTTTCGTCGCCCTCTGTCGAGTGGTAACTTTATTAAATGTATTGTTGCTGTGATTTGGGTTATCTACGCGCGCGATTGGTGTCCAAGCTTTTCGCCGGCGTTTGACGGACGACTGTTGGTGCGCCATCTCTTGTTCGCCGGCCGTTGGCCTGTTCGCTCCAAACAATAGCATGGGTCTATCTATATGTATTTAATCAATGGGTCGCCGGACCAGAACGCAAATAAAACCCCCGAATGGAGCGTCGGTCCCGGCGTGCGCTTTTCCGCTGCAGTCCTGGGGCGAATTCAAACTCGTTCGGTTTTTCTCCGCCTTGTTTACCGAATCGACGGCCCCAACAAAAGAAAATATTTTCTCGGAAAATATATCCGGCCGGTTCGGCGTTTTCGAGTGGGTGACGTTTGTTGCCTTTATTTAAATTAACTTCAGCGCCGTGCTGCGCCGGCTTTGCGCCAAGATCCGCCAGCAATAATTCGCATTTGCGGTAACCGATATGGATCGCTGCGCCTCCAAATTAGACAACTATGTAAATAGATACTCGGCGTGATGAGAATTGATTTCGGGACGTGCACCGCTGGGCCGGTTTTGCATTCGCGCGATATTTATTTACTTTTGGTGGGGGGGTGTTGTGGCGGCATGTCGTGCGAAACTCGGCCCGGCAACAACAAAAACCGAAATTGAACAATTGGATCGTGTCGGAGGTGGCGGCTCGAGCCGTCAAACTTCGACTATCTGTTACGTCCAGCGGCTCAATCTACGGCACGATTAATTTGTTGGGTCGGTTAATTGATGGATGTTCGGTTCAACCGCTGTATATGCTACACGAAACGTGCGTGTCGGTTTTCGGAGCAATTCCTATTGAAATTAATTCCGAGTGAGGGCCAAGGACACGTTTCCCGGCGTCACCGGGCGATAAGGGAAATCCGTCCCGGACCGATCCCGGCTTATGTTCTTAGTTCGTGGCATCTCACCTATGCCCGACCTCTGTAACAACATCAGAAATTGATTCGATCGAGGCGTTACTCAAAAATTTACGACGTCTTTTCCGAGTCCAGCTATTTTTAGCTGGAATTAGCCGATTAGCTTGATTAGTGAAATAACCGAGGAGCGATAAACAGGATCAAAAGCACTCCACTATCGTATGCAAACGAGGGAATTGGGAGATTCGCCGACGTTCGCAAACACGCATTTATGTCATATTTTTCAATCAATGTCGGGGCAAATACGGATTGAATTTTTCATGGATTTGGAGCGGATTTACGAGCTACATTATCATAATTTTGTTGTTTTGTCACGGGCGAGGCTCATGGACCAACGGCACACAGGCGAAAAATTAACGGTTAGACGAAAATCGACCAAATCCTGCAACATTCAAATTAAAAATCGCAGCCTGCATCCCTGCTGGCTACCACAAAGAGTTATTTCGTTTGTTTCCAGTCGGCGCATAAATGAAAGGAATCTCGAAAATTTGTTTATGGAAATATCACAAAGTGGGTTACAAGCCGTTTGCACTCGAGTATGAAAATAAAGATAACATTCCTTCCATACTCCGGGTTTGTGCAGAAGGAAAAAATTAGCAAGACAAAGCCGCCTAGAATGTACATTCTCCGTCACGACGTTCTCGGGAATCGCGAGCTTCGCTCGCTCTCGTGTGTATAAAAATCATAACAATATAATTAAAACTGATAACTTATCTGTTATAACAAATCACGCCAGGCGACATCTGTTTCTCTAATTGCGCTAATCTAATAAAGCCGACGTTTAGATAGTACTTCCCCCGCTTTTTTTTTCTCATTAATTTCTGTAGCGGAGCATTTTAAAAAAAATTTGCCATGACGTCATCAACATTTTTGCAAGGACACGTATATCAGTGTGGATAGATGTAGTGTAATACTTAAAAAACAAAATTGTTCAAAAAAAAAAAAAATTTAAAAATTTTCTTAGAAAATGACTGTGCTTTCAAATCTTGCAAAAGTTAACGAAATTGTGGTCAATCGAGAATCAAAATTTATCTGCTTCCCCTTCCAAAAATTAGATCTCAAAATTTTACCAAATAAATTGAGCTTCAGTTTTACAAAATAATACGGACTTGTGGTTTATTAATTTGTTTTTATGATATACATCGGATTTTGGATTTTTAGAAAGGAATTCAAAATTAAAAAAATATTTTACTTACTCTCTAAGAAAAGAGAGTGGGTGGGCGGGGCTGCTATTTGCTAAGATAAAACTGATTTTAGCAGGTACTAGCCCCGCCCGCCCGCCCACCCTCTCTTTTCTTAGAGGATATCTCATCTGCCAAAATCAGTCTTATCCAAACAGGTATTAGCCCCGCCCACCCGCCCTCGCTTTTCTTAGAGGATATCTCATCTGCCAAAATCAGTCTTATCCAAACAGGTATTAGCCCCGCCCACCCGCCCTCGCTTTCCTTAGAGGATATCTCATCTGCCAAAATCAGTCTTATCCAAACAGGTATTAGCCCCGCCCACCCGCCCTCGCTTTTCTTAGAGGGTATCTCATTTGCCAAAATCAGTCTTATCCTATCTAGTAGCTGCTAAGATAAAACTGAATTTGGCAAATGACACACCCTCTAAGTAAAGAGAGGGTGGGTGGGTGGGGCTAGTACCTGTTAAGATAAAGCTGATTTTGGCAAATAACATCCCTCTAAGAAACGAGAGGGTGGGTGGGTGGGGCTAGTACTTGCTAAGAATGACTGATTTTTGCAGCTAACATACCCTGTAAGACAAAAGAGGGTGGGTGGGTGGGTGGGGCTAGTACCTGATAAGATAAGGCTGATTTTGGCAAATAACATACCTTCTAAGAAAAGTGGGTGGGTGGGGCTAGCAGATTTTAGCAAATGACGTATTCTCTAAGAAACTTAATTAAATTATTATAAGAAAATACACTAGAGGCTCCAAAGCACTTTCAAATTCTTTCCTAACTGTCTTTGTTAAAAATGTAAAACCTTCTTGGGGGTCCCAACTGTCCTTTTTAAAAATGTAACACCTTCAAAATTGTAAAATTAAAAAATCAAAATAAAAACGAATAAGTATAAGACGAAAACTTTGAAAAATCTGAAAATTGGAAATGAACAACTTGAAAAATTGGAAAAACGACAAATTGAAAAATGAAAAGATTAAAAACTGACAAAATTAAAAATGGAAAGAGTGCGAAATGTTGTAAAATCAAAATATTGAAAATTAAAGAAATTGGAAAATCGAACAACTGAGAAATCCAAAAACTTTTTGAATTAAATTATTAAAATTTAGAAAAATGTAGTAAACTTAGTATAAACAAAGGAAATGGAGAAACGAAGAATTATTATTAAAAAAGGGAAAAAACGGAAATAAAAAATTAGGGAAATGAAAAATAAAAATCAAGAACAAAACGAAACGAAAAACTGAAAAATCGAAAAATCAAGAAACGAAAAACTGACAAATTTGGAAGTCGAGAAATTGAAAAGTTGAAAATTTAAAGTCGAAAAAACGAAAAATTAGGAAATGTGGAAAAATTGAAAAATTAAATACACGAAAAAGCGAGAAATTACGATATCAAAAAATTGTAAAATCGAAGAAGGAAGGACGAATATTTTAGAGGGTATGTCACTTGCCAAAATCAGTCAGATATCAATTTTGGCAAATAAGATATGGTGTACGAAAACAGAGGGTGGGTGGGTGGGGCTAGCACCTGCTAAGGCAAGACTAATTTTGGCAAATGAGATATCTTGTAAGAAAACAGAGGGTGGGTGGGTGGGGCTAATACCTGTTAGAATAAGGCTGATTTTGGCAAATGAGATACCTTGTAAGAAAAGAGAGGGTGGGTGGGCGGGTCTAGTACCTGCTAAGATACAACGACGTCGTAAACACTTAGGGTGGGTTTTTCCATCTCTAGTTAACTTACGGTTTAACATAACTTACAGTTAACTAGGCCTGCAGTGTTTTTCCATTTTCGTTAACTAACGGTTTAAAGTTAACTACTAATTTCATTTAACCAGAACTCAAAGTATCAGTTAACTAGTAGTTTCATATTTTGACGTTTGATTTTATAAAACTGTCGTCAGTAAAATGATGGATTTCGTCGATATTAACGTTTATAGCGACGATGAAGAGGTGCCTGTACGAAAACAAAGAGTTTTAAGGGAACGTATAAACCATTTTGAAAAATGGGATAGAAAAGAATTCTTACAAAGATTTAGGTTATCTCCTCAAACAGTATTAAATATAGCGGATGAGATACAAGAAGACATTCACCACAAAACAAATAGGTTAGTCTTACTAGTAAATAATATATCTAAATTTCACATCAGTAAAATTTTTGTGATCACTTCAGAAACGCTGCATTGTCACCAACCGATCAATTGCTTCTAACACTGTCTTTTTATGCTACTGGCTCGTTCCTACGTGTTGCTGGAGACTTCATTGGAGTGCATAAATCGACAGCCTCAAAAACAGTGAAGAGAGTTAGCGAAGCATTGGCTTCTTTGAGACCTGTATGTATACGTATGCCTGAGACAAATGAAGAGATCTCAGAGTGTAAGGCAGGTTTTTACAGGATCGCTAGATTTCCTCTATGTATTGGGTCTATTGACTGTAGCCACGTGAAAATTATATCCCCCGGTGGTGAAAATGCAGAGATTTATAGAAATCGCAAGCAATATTTTTCGTTCAATGTTCAAACCGTTGCAGACTCCGATTTAAAAATAAGAGACATAGTTGCTCGTTGGCCAGGCTCTGCCCACGATGCCCACATTTTTAGAAGTTCCGCCATTGGCCACAAATTTGAAAACAAACACTACGGAAACTGTATAATAGTTGGCGACAGCGGATACCCGGTTAAACCGTATTTAATGACACCTTTGCGTCAAACCCGAAACTTACCGGAAAATTTATATAATGAATCCCTAATAAGAACCAGAAATGTGGTGGAAAGATCTTACGGAGTGTGGAAAAAAAGGTTTCCCGGTTTAGCCTTGGGACTCAGACTGAAAAAAGAAACTGTACAAGCTGTAATCGTGGCAACTGCAGTTTTACACAATATTGCTTGCGAAGAACGAGAAGATATCCCACAGATAAATGTTGAAGAAGTAGTAGCAATTGATCTTGTAAACAATAATCCTCCAGAAAATAATCCTCAACTAATAGAAAGACCAAACAATGTTAGGCAGAGATTAATTTTTGATTACTTTGCGAGATTGTAACAAAAAAAATTTGGACATAGTCTGATAATTATTTATTTGATAACATGATAACTTTCATAAGTTCACAAGAACGCAAAACAAACTAATTTTTTATTTCTGCGTTACGTAATTTTTTATCAAGCAGTAACTTTTTTTTTTGAAGAATTTCCATTTTCAATTTATGTTCCTCTTCAAAACATTCTTTTTGTATCCTTATGAATTCTAATTTGGCTTCCAATAGTTTTTCATTTGTATTTTTTTTGAAGGCCAACGATTTTTTGTTATTTTGTCCTGGAAACAAGAACTTCATTTGTATCTGTATTTATAAAAAAATAAATTATTAATACTTAAAGTCTGAAGTTTTTTATGTGGTGGATTTTTTAACATTTTGGAGCTGTATCCATTCCAGTTCTCAGTAGAATTATCCAGTACATTAATTGTGTCTAAATTATTTTGTTGATTTACAGCTTCTATTTCATCTATAAGAGTTATTAAAGTAATTTGCGAAAAAAGTTTAGAATTAGGATTACCTTCAGATTCAGTCAAATTGTATTTGTCACCAATAACTTGTATGTTTTGCGGTAACTCTTTTTCGTGGGTGCTGGGCACAGCGAGGCCACTTCCTCCTATGTCAAAAAATTAATACAAATACTTTAAGGTAGATAAATACGAAAATATAGACAAAATGGATGAAATTTATGGCGTTTGTAAAAATTCTAAAAAATGAGTTAAATTCTTATTAAAAAAAAATGAAGCAAAAATTTTTATAAGTATACATTAAAATATCTCGCACCTGGTAAAGAATTTGCAAAGTCTGCATCACTGTCGAAAGCGCTTGGCAGACCATCAATCTGTGCTCCTAGAATATCGTGGATTGTAGAATCCACATCGTCAATTTCTGTTAAATTTCCACTACCTCCACCAGTTTTAACAATCGTGGCCTTGTTCGTTGCAAACTTTCGTTTGCAACTTTTTTTTAAATTGGCGTACTTACATTTTAAAATTTGAACCCCTTTAAATTCCCCCCCAACAGTAGAATTGAATTCGTCTGCAATGGTACGCCAGGTGTTTGTCTTCTGTTCCCATGTTACCTGGCCGCTTTTTTTGCATTCAATTATATTTCTGTTTTTATGAACCAATTGGGTCAAAATCCTTTCCTCTTCTTTCGTAAAGTTAGAACACCGCTTTGTTTTCTCTGTGTTACTCATTTTTGTACAAAATAATCACACCAGAAGAATTTGAATGACATTTATCAGAATAAACAACAGATTTGTGAAACGTTGCCATAGATACCAAATATAAATCATAGTTAACTGTTAGTTTTCTAACCAAATTTACAAATTTGTTGGAAAAACGCATTCAAAATTAACTGCTAGTTAACTTGGAGTTAAAGTTAACTAAAAGTTACGAAACCAGAGGTTAACTAAATTTTGGAAAAACCCACCCTTAGCAATTTGGCGTTTCCGTGCTAGGCTACCGTGAATGAAAGAATGTCACGTAGACATTTGATTGATTTGAATGAGTTTATCGCCCCGAAACAGATGACTAAAATTATTCATAAGCCTCCATTGAACAAAATATTCTGAATGTTATTATTATAATTCTTACCTTATAATTATTTTATTGTTATAAAGACAAGCGTATTCTCACATTTTCCAGAAAATGGGGTGGCTCGTTCTTAATTTGATGAATAATAAATTGACTGATTCATTAATTTTTTTGAGTCACCTGTTTAAGCAAATCTAAAAAATACGAATGCAATGATTAAAAGTCTGTTCATATTTTGCACACAATTTATTCGAGAAAATATTGAGGTGCCGTAATCAATTTTTTGGGGTTTCGGGTAAAATCTCAATTCGGAGTCATAAACTACATGTGTAAGACTATGTTATTTGATACAATTTAAAATCTATTTTTGACCTTCTACATGATATACCTAGTATAAATACAAAATTTGAGAACAATCGGCCCAGTACTTTCAGAGATTATCTGTCTAATAAAAATCCGGGACGACAGACAGACGGAAACGTCCTTTTGGGGTCATGATAGGTCGAAAAAGTGCAAAAGTAGAAAGTCGGCCGACGGACTTGCTTACGCTCGGGAAGTAAAAACAACACAAATAAGCACTTGGACCGAATTAACTTCGTGTCCAGCTTATGTAACAACGGTTCATTAAAATGTAACCTGAGCCTCTGCGAATTTTTGCCTCCACACTCGAGTTAATACAGCCATAAAAGCCAAAACATGCTCCTCCGACAACCCAAACAGGCGAATCTAGTTTGTTTTATCTGAGTAGCGCCGACTTGTGATTTTATTGTTTATAAAAGCGCCGAGTTCCACACTCCCTTTAATAATACATCCAATTAGAGGAGCTCCCAGACTCCAGTCGAGCTCTTTAATAAAATCTTTGCGCTCTTGGGGTGCATCAGTTCGTCTGTATGCAAAAACTGCACGAAAATATCAATCGAGCCTTACCCTTTGAGTTTTCTGCGCACGCTGCCACTTTGTTCCGCCAGCTGTGTATAATTAACTTACAATCCATCTAGTCGCTAACTCGATTATCTTGATTATGCCGAGAAAAGGGCACCATATATGGCTTTTAATATAATAACATCTACGAGTTTACACCGTTGCACAAATCGAATCTGCGAGTTTGGCACAACTCCATCCATTGAACACTTCTTCAAATAAAACGATGATGTAAAGGCGCGCCACATTTTCTCAGAAGTTTAGTAAATATGGAACGTGAAATTGAATTCAACTTAAGAAAATACGCTGAATATGAGCTTCTTGTGTAAACAAGTTTTGCTGTGTGTAGAAGACTTCGACTTGAAAAGCACACACACAGAGAAAGGCCGTTCCAACCCCAAATAACATGCCTGGCAAACTTGCAACCCTATTTATATAACCGTCTACATAATCTCATTATAGTCGCGGGGTAACGTAACGCACGAAGAAAAGAAAGCGCGAACTAAATTACCTCCGCAACCCCGGCCAACAGGTCGCCGATTAATCATCCAATGGCCTTAGGCCCCCCTATCAATTAACTAAATGAAAGCTCAAAAGCCCGCCTCCAGACACGTAGCCGTCATCTGCACTCGAACGCGTCAAAAACGACCAAAAGACACTTGCATCCATCAACCGGCGGAAGTCGGCGCCCTAATGAATGGATGTAGATTGATGTCGCCACAGTAAATAATTTAATAAACGAAATGTTCCGATTCGATCAATTAACAGCGCCGATTTGACGCTCGACGAGCCGCTCTTTGACGGCGCGTTAGCGGTTCCCCACACCGGGGACGATGATTCGGTCCCATTTCACCACCTTTCGCTAAATTAACTCGATCGTCTGCGAGGTCTTACGAGGTCTTATCGCTCCCGGCCACGCTCACCTCTCATCGTTCGATCTAATTGGCTGCCCCCGAACCTGGAATACGAGCCAAGAGGCCGCGAATACGCCACAAATCAAACAAATTCGTAGGCGCATTCACTTTTGGGTAGGGAGTATTGTGGCGAGCAAAAACACGAATGGACGAAGTGCTAAACCACCGGACGGTTAATTTGTTAGCCCGATTTTTTTCATAACCGACTGTTGGTTACTCGGGTCCATGTTCACGTTTGGTAAACAAGCACAAAGTTCTCACGCCTCGTTACTGTATATAACGTCTTGGCTAAACAGACTGACTGAGTTTGAACAAGCTGTTTTGCAATGATTCATAAAAACGCGTCGCCCGTCTCCTTTATGTCCTGTTGCTTCCTGAATTTTAACGAAGTTAATCTAGATTTAAGCGCGAATTTCTTTTACTGCGATTTTATGGTCGTCCCATCGTCAACACCGCGATTTTTAAATACCGCTATTCTCGCGCTTCCGCCTAATCACGTTATTGCGTTCCGTACGCATACAGCAGGCGGCCGTCGCCCGCCCCCGGCGCCATTTGCATGACAATGGCGGCGTAATTACAATTGTTCGTCGGAAAAAAGCGCCACTTTCCTTTGTCGCGGCGCCGCCGCCCCGGAAAAAAACTAAAACTTGTTGAATCCGACATGCAGCTCGCGTCCCGATTTAACGCTGCAAACTCCAACAATGTTAATTAAACCTGAGCAGTCGCTCCCGTAATCAACGAGCGAGACGTGTCGGGCTCGCGTCGCTCGCGACGTTGAGAAACGATCCGTCAATAAAATGCAACAACGGGCTTGTTTAATTAAAGTTTTGGCGTGCGAGCGGAAAAGTGCCTCGTAAATCCCCCGGCCTGTACCGGGGAACGGTAATAATTGCTCAAGAAAATGCGGAGAAAAGTTTGCGGCGGGAATTTCGTTCGCCATACGAGCTAAAATGTAAAACTAACAAAAGGAAATTTCGCCGGCGTCCCGAGGAGACCGGACGGGAAAGCGAAACCGGAATCTTGAATTCAAATTTGAGGAAAAGTATTAATTGTTCTGGGAATCAAAAGATATGAATTTTACATAATCGGCGCGAAAAGGCGGCGCGGGGGTCGGGATCGGTTTAATTTATACTTTAAGGGGGATCGCTAGACGAGAGACAATTCTTTTGACGTATTAATTTTAATATTCGAGATAATTATTATATTATTCATACACAATTTAGACACTGTAGAGCAAACAAGGCTTATCAAGCCCGTCTATTAGTTTATTCGTCTAAATGTTTTATTAATACCGTTTTCAAATTACACCAAAATTGAAAAATCGAAAACTTAATAATTGAAAAATTGAAACATTTTAAATGAAAAAAATCGGTAAACCGAAAAATTGAAAAATCTATAAATCGAGAAATTGAACAATCTAAAAATTAAACAATTTACAAATCGAAGAATTGGAAAACCAAAAAATCTAAACCGAGAACTTGAAAAATCGAACAATCGAGAAATCAAAACATCAAGGAAAACAATAAAATTAACGGAAAATCTAGAACTTAAAAATCGAAAAATTAAAATACCTATCGAAAGATTGAAAAACCGAGAAATCGAAACATCAAAAAATGGAAAAATGGAAGAACCGAAACATTGCAAAACCTCAGAACTGAAATATTGAAAAACTGAAAAATGGAAGGAAAATTGAAAAATCGAAAAAGTGAAAAAATTCAAAACTGAAATCTTGAAAAACTGAAAAATGGAAAGAAAATTGAAGAACCGGAAAAGTGAAAAAATCCAAAACTGAAACACTGAAAAATCCAGAAATCGAAAAATTGAAAAATCACAATTGAAGAAAGAATTGAAAAATCAAGAAATAGAGAAATGGGAAAATCAAAAAATCAGTTAATCGAAAAATTGAAAAATCGAAAAATTTAGAAACGTCAAAAATTGAAAACTGAAAAATAAAAAAATTTAAAAATCGTAAAACTGAAATATCGTAAAGTTAATAAATTGAAAAACTGACAATTTTTGAAAAAAAAATCGTATCAAAAACTAAAAATTCAAAAAATCGAGAAATTGAACAATCAAAAAATCAAAACATTGAAATCCCAGTAAGTTGATAAATTTGGAAAATTTAAAAAACAAAAATTTTAAAAATCCAAGACTTGAACAACAAAAAAAATCTGAGCCTGAAAACTCAGAAAATTGAATGATCGAGAACAAAAAATCTAAAATTTAAAAATTCGACAAATTGAAAAGTCATGGAACTGAAAAATCGAAAAGTCGAGATAGTGAGAAATCTAAAAACCTAAAACTTTAAAAACTGAAAAATTAAATAAAATATCGAAAAATTTAAAAACCGAGGAAACACAATATCAAAAATTTGAAAAATTGAAGAAACGAAATATTGCAAAATTCCAAAACTGAAATATTGAAAAACCTAAAAATGGGAGGAAAATTAAAGAATCGAAACAGTGAAAAAATCCCAAACTGAAACATTGAAAAATTGAGAAATGGAAAAATGGGTCTAAAGAGTTTAGACAGTACTTCCCTCGCTATTGGAAACGTGACGACTGCATGCCTATTATGTTTTTTTTCACATTATATTTCAAAGCATTCGGTTTTGTAGTTCCTGATTAAATCAATAAAATAAATTTGCGCCTTCATTAAATTTTTTGAGTCACCTTGTATATCCGAATCCAAAAAATATGAATGGAATGATAAATTACAAGAAGAGACTCATTATATTTTGTAAACTTTAAATAGGATTATACGGCAAACTTTTGAGCTGACGTCATCAATTTTTTGGAGGGGATAAGCAAATATATTTTGACTAAAAATTTATTATGCTCTTTATAACCTTAAAACATTTGCAAGATTTCAAAGCATTGGGTTCTGTAGTTCCTGATTAAATCAATAAAATAAATTTACGCATTCATTAATTTTTGGGGTCATCCTGTATATGCAAATCCAAAAAACATGAATGGAATGATAAATCACAAGAAGAGACTCATCATATTTTATACAATTTAGATAGGATTTATTCAGCAAAATTTTGGTTTAATAACAAAAAAATATTGTTCGTCTATAAAACAAGCTCGTCTTAGACAAAGTATTCATAAAAAAATATGTCGTAAAAAAATGTATGTATGCCGGTTCCGACTGCGATTATGGTTTAAATATTTTTTAGAAAATCCTGTCATGGATGTAGAAACATTTGTGACAGCCAAAGAGGTTTTTTTGAGAAAATTATCTTTGAATTTAGACCAAATTGAAATAGACACTAGGCAACAGGCACATTTGGGCAAAAGAGAGAAATTAGGGTTACGGCTTCAAATTTTGGACGTATTTACAAACTTAGACCGACTACAGCAATAGCTAAAACTGTGGAGTCTTTGTTGTACAGTGCATTTAGAGGTAACAGTCATACATACTATGGACAGCAAAGTGAGGAAAAAGCTGTCAAGTATTTTGAAATAAATAAAAATATAAAAACTGAACGGTGTGGCTTGTTTATTTCAAAACAATTTCCTTACTTGGCTGCTAGTCCAGACAGGGTTCTAGAGGACAGGAGGGCATTAGTCGAAATTAAATGCCCTTCAAAATCGCAAGATTTGTCTCCCGAAGAAGCGGTTAGAAAAAAAATAGTCAAATTTTGTACATTGACAGACAGAGAATTGAAACTAAAAAAATAATCATGATTACTACTTTCAAGTCCAGGGACAAATGCTTGTTACGGGTATTTCACAAGTTTATTTTGTTGTATGGACACCCAATGGAATAAATATAGAAAAAATTTATAAAGACGAAGAAATATATGTAAAAAGATGGCAGATAAACTTGGCAGATTTTGATTTGGCGCTTTATTGCCCGAAATAATTGATTCAAGAAGAAAGAGGAACCTGCCTTTGCAAGATTTTTTTAAAATAAATACAATTTGTTTCTATTTTTTTATGTACTTTAATAATCTATTAGTACATTTTTCATCACCAAGACTTGCATATTTTTATTATAAATATATTTTGAAAATGATCTCTCGACAAATGAAAACATACGAGCACTTTTTTCGAGTAAACATTGAAGGGAGAAGTTACTGGGCGTAGGGCTTTTTTAAAACACCTCCTTTCTGGGATATGTAGTAGATACACTTAGCTGCTTATACGTGTTAAACAAAAGCTGTATTTTATATATTTTTTATTATTATTATAAATATGTTTATTAGTTTTATTAATTAAGAAAGCAAAATATATATTAACAATAATATTACAACGAATCTTTAGTAATCATGTGTGTTGAATTCAGGATCCTGAGTGGAGTAAAAATATTGTAGTTCCCCAGTTTTAATTCGGTTTTATGATAGTACCTCATTGCGTAAAAGTTAATTTCCTTAACAATAGATTACTACGGCCGGTCCTGGCGGCTTGTTATAAAACTGAGTTCCTTGCCATAAATTAGAAAAATCAGCTGAGAACTCTAACAATCGGCTTATGGTCAAGCAGGTGATAAGATTACCTGGAAAGTCGCTTCCGTAAATTTTAGTGGCGCTCCTATCGGCAAAGTACTGAACTAACTGCTCAAATTCTGTCGAATTGATACCCATTTTTTTCAATAATTGTTAGTTTTTGTTAAAAACTCTGCTAACCAATAGATCATTAATTTTCGTCTGATATTCCTGTTAAAATTATTCGACGTATTTTGCATTAATTTGTGGTATTTTTTTATTTTAATGAACACATTATTATTTAAACAAATTGTACCACTAACAAACATTTAATGACTCTGCGCCCTGTAAAAAGTGATGTTTTATCCATGTGCGAATTTTCAAGCGATTCTATGATGGTTATGACTCACAAAACTTGAAAAGAAAACATACAATGGTGCTTTTTTTACGATATTTCTCAGCCATATTTTTTTAGTTGATTCAACTGGTCTCTGCGCTCTAGAATATGAAAAAAGCTGCAGTTTGATGTATGATACATCTATATTAATATAATTTTTTCATACAAAAAAACAAAAAAATGTTATACTTCGTCTAGCGATTCCCCTTAAGGAGCGGGATTATGGCTGGGGGTATTGGATGTGACACTGTAATTCGGCGGCACGCTGAGGAGCGCGGAAGTCGGCTTTTAGCGGTGTAAATAAGTGGCGATATTAATGCCGAAGTCGTGTAAACGCTAATGCTCGGTGTGAAATTCCGGGAAAGCATTTGCATACATGATTTTCTATGGAAAATTAAAAGTTACACTCAAACATTAACCAGGACTTCGTTCTGTCGTTGCTTCACGACATCACGTAATTACAAAGAGAGCAAAGACAGAACACCACAGCCGACTGGAAAAATCGTGTAGTCGTGAGAGCACAAATTACAAAGCAGCTACTCCAGACCGTAGCTCAAGGGCAACATAAAATTGATAGAAAAGGGAACAGAAGAGTTGAAATGTTTCCAGCTTTTTTTTCGTTCATGTAGAACGCCAAGTGCAGCAAGCTGAAACACAAGCACAAACTCGGCAATAAGAAATCAAGTCGAGGGGAAACTCTTCGCTTCATTATCGCGCGATTTGCTGATCCTCGATGCAAGTTGCTGAAATCGACCAATTAAAATTTTAACGACGTTTGAACAGGACGAAAAGCGGCCACCACAGCCGAAAGTGCGCAATTGAACTGGATTAAATATTAAACCGGCAGACGAAAGGTCGAACCGATTACGTGCACATCACTTCCCACGACGCCCCAAAAATCGACCGACTAATTCGGACCCTAGGAGTCGCCGTACGTGTCATCGAGTAACCCCGACGATAAAAATTCTCTCCGCATTGATTTCGCCGAAAAAACAATACGTCGCATGTTTGATTTGCTTAAGTTATAAGTTTTTCCGCTCCCCTAATGGCCGAATAAATACAGAAAGAACCCTCTTCGCGGTAACGACGTCTCGAGCCGGTCCTCGCGGGACACTCGTCGATGCTTCCTCCGGGCGGGTATTATTCTAGACGAAAGAACACGTAACTTTTCCGACGTAAGCCAATTCGGACTGGCATTAATTTGTATAAACGTCGTTTAATGGGTTAACGCGATCGGTTAAAAGGAACTTTTCTCCAATCGATCGAGCCCGACTTTCCCGGATGGGCTTTCTTTCTGGTCGGGCGTAATCACGTTACCTTATGGATATGCAAACAATGGAAATCGCTTACCTGAACAGAAGGAATCCGAGGGCGGTGACGGCGGCGCGTCGGACGTCGTCGTTCACGTCGGACACCTGCGATTAAAATTTTAATTAAAAATCGACCCAATTTTTCGCACACATCAAAGATGATTTATGGCGAGGTATCGACGCTAAACGCCGATTCTAAAGCGCTCTCGCCATTTTTTTTTTTTTGGTTCAATACAACGCACAATGCTTTCTTAATGATCGACGTGTTTACGGGGGCTATTTTTACTACAAACATGTCAATTTGCGCCCGTCATGCTTGACGATTAAAGCTCGTCGATGCATTACATTCAAAAGCACGAAAAACACCCGGATCGGGCGCAAATTCGAGCTCCCGGACCTTCACACAACCATTGATTAAATACATATAGATAGACCCATGCTATTGTTTGGAGCGAACAGGCCAACGGCCGGCGAACAAGAGATGGCGCACCAACAGTCGGCCGTCAAACGCCGGCGAAAAGCTTGGACACCAATCGCGCGCGTAGATAACCCAAATCGCAGCAACAATACATTTAATAAAGCTACCACTCGACAGAGGGCGACGAAAACAATGTGTAAAAATCTCATAGTAACCATTTATATAATTTGCAACGTTGCCAGATGAGCCTAGCACAACTTTGCCGTTATTTCTAGTCGATTAGATTTTATTTCGTTTAAAAGTTTCTGGTGAATAAATGGAATTATTATAATGAATAAACAATACAAACAAATTATTACTTGTTATTTTAAATATTTGTTAGTGTTGATGAAAACATAAATGGTAATTAAAGTTATTCTAAATACGGTCCGGTCCGGTAGCTCAAATTTTACAGTACGAGTAATATGTTTCAGGACGAGTAGGTAGCCGAGTCTTTAATTTCGAAACGAGTACTGCGAAAAGAGTTACCGGACGTATGTTGTTATGTATTTTATTTCATACTGTCAACATACTTTTTTATTCGATAATATTATTATTATTTTGAGAAAAAATCCAAATCGAGTCACTTTTTCTGACATCGTTAGCAACCGCTCTTTGGTAAATGTTTTAATTTGTTTATTCGTTCAAATCAGCATCATATGTTTAAACACATAGTACTTATAACACTTTACAGGACTTATTGTTTTGTATAATCCGACTCGATGGACGAATGTTTTGTGCAATCCGTCTCGAAGGACCAATGTTTGTGCAACTCGGCTCGTCCTACCAGTATTTTTTGTAATCTGGTTGATACGACAATGTGATACCGAATTGTACTTTGATATTGCTCCAAGGACCTTTGTTTTCTTGCGTGCGAGATAATAGACAGCGTTCGGTTTCGATGTTTAATACAGGACGGTTACAGAAGTACTAAATTTACATTTGTATTTACAATAACAGGTAAAGCAAAAGAGACCCAAAAGGGTCAGTGGCCGCTTCCGGAAATGGAAGACTTGTCCTTTTTGGCCACGGAGGTAGAAGAGTGTCTCTTCTACCTCCGTGTTTTTGGCTCAATTTTATCGGACTTGTCCGTTTTTTTGATTTTACCGGAATAGTTCGATCCAGTAAAACGTCAAACTTGACATAGTATGAAGTAAAATAAATAAATTTTATGATGTAAATACAATTAAGTGTATCGATAATAATTCGCTACTGAAAATTTATTGAAATATAATTTGTGTTAAAAAAAGATTTTTGTGGTTTTATGGTTTATTAAATGTAATTAAAATAAATAATATCAAGAACTTGTATTATATATCAAAAACATTCATTGTAAATAAGAAAATTATGTAAATAAACCATAAAACCATACAAAATTTTCCTGCGACCTCTATTCAAAATCCCAGTTTACCAATAGGAATTAAGGCACAAAGATGTTTCACTGAAGAAGAAAAGTATGCTTATAAGCCTATAAGCGTCTAATGGGTTAAAACAACAAATAATAATCACAATTTATTTGTTTTATATGTTCATTACAATAATCCCATTTATTTACCAGAAACTTCTAAATGAAATAATATCTGGTTGACGAGAAATATCCGCAAATTTGTGTTAGGCTCATCTGGCAACGTTTTCGGTAGGTAGGTATCAATGGAATAATGCGATTAGGTATACTGACCGTTTTAAGGAGTGCTCGTCCAATAGTGCGTAAACTAAAAGATTTGGTAATTTTCTTGGAAGAGTTTGTTTCTTCAATGAAAATTTATGGTTTTTAATTCTTCGGCCGCTTGAAAGTCTCGCCATGTGAAAATAGATTATTTGATAACCTGTTTCGTAATAATTGTAAATACGAACAAAAGCATATTTGCATATTCTAAACAACTGGCCATATCGATTCCAAACTTGTACAGATATGTTTTTTATTGTTTCTGTTTTCAATGAAATAAATTTTATTTGCAAAATACCTAATGTCTAACGACATATCACGCATACATACTACCCCATTTACTATATTTTCAATCTGTGCATTTTTCGCTTCATTCGTAGGAGCCAAGTAAGAAGTATCAGTGAGACCGGCGGACTTTCAATAGCTCGTAAATGAAAAGATTTAGTAAAGTTTCCTAGAACAGTCTGTCTCTTCATAAAAAAATTTAGACATTTTTACTATGAAATATAGGTACAATACGGTATATTCCACTGTTTGTTTTCTTTGAGATACGACTAGTTCTTGTGCCGAAGTGAAACACCAAAAAGTCTAAAGTCCGGAAATCAGAGTGAATTTTAAAACACATAAAACGACTTCTTTATTTATTTAAATATTGTCCTGTAACGTCCTGTGACGTGGAATGGAGTTTCTTAATGTACAAAAGTATGTTAGATAATAACCGAAAAATTTTCTTGATTAAAACTAAAGGAAACACAATTATTACTTGGAATAAAAATAAAGAATATCAAGAACTTGTGCTATGTATTAAAAATATTTAATTTCAAATAAGTAAATTATGTTAATAAACCATAAAACCACAAAAATCTTTTTTTAACACAAATTATATTTCAATAAATTTTCAGTAGCGAATTATCGATATACTCAATTGTATTTACATCATAATAGTTATTTATTATACAAGCGGTTAAAGTGAATGTTTAATGAGCGGCCAGTTTAAGGCGAGAGCGGCGTATGCCGCGAGCGCCTTAAGACCACGAGTTACACATTCATTTTAATCGCGAGTGTAATACAAACTTTTATTCAATTTTGACAACCCCAAGTCCCAAATTGTGAAAAAATTGGTGATTCAAAGTTCACATTCGAGAAACGTCAGAATTGACAGCGACCAAATAAAAGTTTTATATGCGTAGAATTTAGGTTACAATATCAGGTGTGTGTGTGTAGTATGTGACTCTGGCGACGGTGTTTGTTTATTTTAAGCAAACTAAAATTATCGAAAAATTGCAAAATCATGCAAGATTCCAACGGCAAAACTTGCTCCCAAAAAAGAGCAAATCAGAAAGTGTATCAAAAGTTCCTTAGATGGAAAGAGCAGCAAGGCATTGGAGAAATTACAGAAATGGTAACCATGGTTTTAAAACAGCAAAATAAAAATTTTATTTCGCTAGCGGTTTAAAAATTTTATGGTGCTACCGGATAAACCAAAGCTTTAGTGGCCTACTGACGGCAAAATAAACGTTTGTTTACATGTCAAAATTGAATAAAATTTATTTATTTTACTTTATACTATGTCAAGTTTGACGTTTTTCTGGATCGAACGATTCCGGTAAAATCAAAAAAACGGACAAGTCCGATAAAATTGAGCCAAAAAGGACAAGTGTTCCATTTCCGGAAGCGGCCACTGACCCTTTTGGGTCTCTTTTGCTTTACCTGTTATTGTAAATACAAATGTAAATTTAGTATTTCTGTAACCGTCCTGTATTAAACATCGAAACCGAACGCTGTCTATTATCTCGCACGCAAGAAAACAAAGGTCCTTGGAGCAATATCAAAGTACAGTTCGGTATCACATTGTCGTATCAACCAGATTACAAAAAATACTGGTAGGACGAGCCGAGTTGCACAAACATTGGTCCTTCGAGACGGATTGCACAAAACATTCGTCCATCGAGTCGGATTATACAAAACAATAAGTCCTGTAAAGTGTTATAAGTACTATGTGTTTAAACATATGATGCTGATTTGCACGAATAAACAAATTAAAACATTTACCAAAGAGCGGTTGCTAACGATGTCAGAAAAAGTGACTCGATTTGGATTTTTTCTCAAAATAATAATAATATTATCGAATAAAAAAGTATGTTGACAGTATGAAATAAAATACATAACAACATACGTCCGGTAACTCTTTTCGCAGTACTCGTTTCGAAATTAAAGACTCGGCTACCTACTCGTCCTGAAACATATCACTCGTACTGTAAAATTTGAGCTACCGGACCGGACCGTATTTAGAATAACTTTAATTACCATTTATGTTTTCATCAACACTAACAAGTATTTAAAATAACAAGTAATAATTTGTTTGTATTGTTTATTCATTATAATAATTCCATTTATTCACCAGAAACTTTTAAACGAAATAAAATCTAATCGACTAGAAATAACGGCAAAGTTGTGCTAGGCTCATCTGGCAACGTTGCAAATTATATAAATGGTTACTATGAGATTTTTACACATTGTTTTCGTCGCCCTCTGTCGAGTGGTAGCTTTATTAAATGTATTGTTGCTGCGATTTGGGTTATCTACGCGCGCGATTGGTGTCCAAGCTTTTCGCCGGCGTTTGACGGCCGACTGTTGGTGCGCCATCTCTTGTTCGCCGGCCGTTGGCCTGTTCGCTCCAAACAATAGCATGGGTCTATCTATATGTATTTAATCAATGACACAACGTTACATGGATTTTTTAAAATGTGGCCAAATCCGAGCCGCTTTGATCTCGCGTTCTTAAAAACCCCACAGTCCACTTTGAGACGAATATAGAAAAAATATGTCTCGATCACCTGCCGCCCTACCGCGACGTCACAAATTCGCCACGTACGCACTCCCCCAGCTTCCTCCCACCTTACATGCACACTCCACAGTCCGGAAACGTACATTTTAAACATTCATCGGCGTTCTCGCCATATTTAATTTAGCTCGAATGAA